AGTGTTTGATAATTATATTTTAAAAAAATATCTATTGTAGAATTACTCAATTAGATAAATTATTATTTATGATTAAATTAATTAATAATTTAATATATATAATGAACAAAAAAAATATTTGAAAATTTTATTAAATTATTTAAGAATTCTATTAATTTTGATAAGATGACTTTTGTATTCTTTTCTGAAAAGTAAGGACAGATAATTTATCAAATACATAAGTTACAAAAAAAGTTACGTAAATATCTATAGAAAGTACTGTAAACAATGTTATCAAACTAAGTCTAAATATAAATAGCACTTTTAACTTGTACCTTTAATTAAGTTAGATGCATTATTGTATTTTTTATTATTAATTTATATAAAAAAATAAAAGTTGAATTAGGTTTTATATCAACTGTCTAGGTAAAATATTTCGTATAATATTGGTGTTAAAAATAAAATTTATTTTTGTAATTTTTCATATAAATTAATAATAAAAATATACAATAAATACACTATAACACAAGTTAAAATAAACTTAATATAAACACAAAAATTAATTTAAACTAGTTGTGTAAGCCCGTGCGTTGCACGAGACATTTTTCTTTTTTGGTTTATATTGATTATTTTTAGTATAAATAAATTTAATAAGTTAGAACTTTTATAGTATAATTTATCATATTAAGATTTAGAAAAATAACTAAATATTTTATGGGCAAATAAAAAATAGGTTTAGACATCTTTAAAAATCATATTAGAAAAAATGAAAAATTCTTTTTCTCCTCAAGCGCTTTCTCATAGTTGGTGAATTTATTAATCAAATCAGTGAGTAATTTCTTGATAAATCATTTTTATAAATTATTTCTAAAATTCTTTTTATTTATCATTACAGTTAAAAGAATATTATAATTGCTATTTGTATGTGTTATGATTCTTATGAGTATTATGCTAGCTTTCATTTTTAAGGATAGTAATTGGTATACATTTTGATTCAACACTTACCAATACCTATCAACACTCACTAGTTTAGTCATTTTTTTTTTTTTATCAGCAAAGATAAATTTATTTTTTGGAGTACAAGGGGTACTCCTGCCCATTACAAATACAAGATTATCAGGGATGTTATAAAGACCACATCAACTGAAGTTTCAAAATACATTCTGCAGCTGAAATCCAAATAAATCATTTTAAACCGAAAGAGTAGACAGCCAAAACTACTTCATAAAAAAGACAACTTTCTAGACTGCTGAAAAACCATGATGGAACTCGCACCCCTCAAATCTTACTCTGTCACCATTCCTTTCTGCTGTTTATGGAACAGCTTCAGCTCCCTTTTGTATCTTCTCATTGAAGTAGCACACTCAATTGGATTCATTTTCCACTCATGAAAAGAAAAAACACAGCCTTGAATTTTGTTTTTGCTCCAAAAGAATGATTTGGCTTGAACCATATCTAAAAGTCTTCCCCTAATGTTATCTCCATCATTAAACACCTTGTCATTTCTCCAATACCATAAATACCATGAGACAACAAGAAAGATGCAAGCCCCCGTCTCCTTCCCTATTATCCTACCCACATCATGAACAAAAATGTCTGCCACACCTAATATATTATTTGGCATGACAGTCTCCATCCCCCACCACTGCAGTACTTCTACCCAAAAAATCCAGGCTTCCTTACACATACAAAATAAATGATTAGCTTCTTCAACCATGCCACCACATAAACCACACATAAACTCCTCCCCCTGCAGGGAAACCCCTCTTTTCATAATATTCCTTTTAGTTGGTAATCTATCAAGGCATAATCTCCACCCAAAGAAAGACACTTTGGATGGCACTAATCTACACCAAATTATGTTGATCAAATGGTCCTCTAAAATACTCTCTGTAGGAGCTAAAAATTCATAAGCCTTCCTCACTATGAAAATTCCCTCCGAATCGTGTATCCACCTCCAACAATCTTTCACACCCTTCTTTAATTGAAAACTATCCAACACCTCCCTCAACACCTCCTCCTCATCCTTCTCTCGTCCTATTCTCCCTCTCCTCCAATCCAATTTCCAACTCCATTTTCCCCCTTCCCATACCCCCAAGTCACTAATATTACCCAACTTATTCTTAGATAGCTCATACAACCTTGGGCATAAATCTCGTAAATTTTTATTCCCAACCCACAAATCTCTCCAAAAGTCCACCCGGTTCCCTTCCCCCACTTCCCACCTAAAACCCTCCACCAACATATTTTTAAGCCTCCTAGAGCGACCCCCTACACTAATAATATCTCTCCAAATTTTAGAAGTCCTCCAATTCCCAACTGCTGTAATGTCTACCTCCTCTCTCTTGCCCCCATAATATTTCTTCGTTATTATCCGTTTCCACAAGCTCTCCACATCCTCTCCAAACCTATACCACCACTTACCTAGCAAAGCCCAATTCTTCCTACAAAGATCCGATACCCCTAAACCCCCTTTTGCCTTACTCCCACACACCTTATCCCATTTCACCCACAAGATCTTCCTCTAACCCTCTACCCCTCCCCATAAAAAATTTCTTTGAATACTAATCAATTTAATCATCACAGAATTTGGAATTAAGAACAACGACATATAAAAAATGGGTAGAGCAGAAAGTACCGAATTGAGCAAAGTGAGCCGGCCACCAAAGGACAGCGAAGCAGCTTTCCAAACAGCAAGTTTGGTTCGAAATTTATTAACTAGCGGCTCCCATAACTTCTTATTCCCAGGATTTCCATCAACAGGCATACCCAAATAACTAAAATGGGATTTCCCAACACCACATCGCAACATGCTGGCTGCTCCTTCTACCCATCTCTCTGACACATTATACCCATAAATGTTACTCTTGCTAAAATTAATTGGTTAAATACCCTTTTTGGTCCCTCTACTATAGGAAAAAGCCCCTTTTTAGTCCCTGTACCAAAAAAATCCCTTTTTTGGTCCTTACTGTTCACAAATCCGGCCCCTTTTTAGTCCCTTCGTTAATTTTTGCTCACATGACACGTTAACTTAACGGGAACAGCTGATGTGGACTTAATGATACCCTCCACGTCACCCTCCACGTGCCACGTGCCGGAAAAAGAAAAAGTTAAATGCTAAATTTGATCCCTCAACTTTATAAGTTTGCATTTTTCTGATCTTTAGATTATTTTTTTTACTTTTTTGATTTTTTAATTCTAAAAATTACACAATTTTTATTTTTCCATCAGTTAAATATGATGGGATAATTAAATAATTTCATTTGACATTTTTTTTTATTTTTTTGATGACATGACAATTATATATACTATAATTATGTTATATAGATAAATAAAAATATCACGTAAATAAACATTTATATTTTAATTAAAAAATAAAATTACATTATTACCCTCA